TAATATTGTTGCATTGTCAAGGATTAACATTTTAAGACAGATAAAATTTTAGGGACTAAAACCACAGATTTAAAATTTGAGGAACCAAAACTAAAATAGATTCATATTTTAGGGATCAAAAGTTATTATATTTCATATTTTAGGGATCAAAAGTTATATTAACCCCATATAATAACTTTTCAATTGTACCTCTACTTAATATATATACTTTAAAAAAGCTATATACACTATAATAAATAAAAGATAAAATAGTATATTCATGCTAAAAATTGAATGAAGTAACTTATAAATAGAATAACGAAATAGAATTTTTTTTTCTACGTTATAAATAGAACTAAAAGAGTAATTAGAACTATTGGCAAAAAAAAACTATTTTAGTCAATCAAGAAATAGTAATTAATTCATTAAATTTGCCTAAAGGAGAAAAATGTAAGGAGTCAAATTTAAACATTAATTAGCAGTACGAAATTGATAGGTATTTATTACTCTCCAAATGATTTATATTGTGAACCAAATAATTTTTACAGGAATGGCTTACATGAAGGGGGTGAAATGATGATAATAATACTCCCTCCATCCATTTTTATAAAAAATAATTTTTTTTATAGTGGTGTCCCTAAATATAAGAAATAAATTTACTTTGTCTAAAATTTTAAACTAATATTTTTATTTGTATCTTCATTAAATATATAATACTAATTATTTCTCATATATTCTCTTTATAAACAATGGTATAATTAAAATACATATATCTTATATATTTATTATTTTTAATTAAATTTAATTAATATTTTAAAACATGTGAGTTTAGTGATTGTTTCTTATACGCGAAATAATGAATCAATATATTTCTTTCTTGAAGCGTGAAGAGCGTAGCATTTATGTCTACAGTTGCTTCCATTATGGTTGGAGGTGGACCGCAATCTACCAACTGTTACCTGTGCAGCAAAAGCCACTTGATGATGATGATGATTTGCCATGCCTAGTAATTAATTTCAGAGACAAATACTACGTGTGGTCTTTTCTTTTAAAGACACTTGCAAACGAAAGTTTTTGACTAAGGCACCATATGAAACTATTTATCGTGCCACTTATTAGAAAGAATTATAACGGGATTCCAAAAAAAAAAATAATTATAAAATAAATCTTAAAAGTTGTCGTTTCTTATTCTGAAATTTTTATTATAGAGTGTTTAAATTATTATTAGGATTTTTTAATAATTATTTTTTTATTAAAATCTCATCGTAATTCTCTCTACTTACTTCTATTTTAAGCCATCCCAACTACTTTACTAGAACTAAGAAAAAATGATTAAGTGATTAAATTTGTTTGAAAATGAATTTTTTAAAGAAATTATCTTTATTATCATGAATTACATCTTAAGAAATGGAAAAAAAAATTGCATCAAGCTTTAAATAAACACAATCTAAAAAACGTAATTAATATCCTGCTTAGTGACTTCTGATAATACTACATATTCTTCCTAGGAAGTATATTATAATAGAGATCGTGGTATTTCTTTATATTACTCTTGTTTTTATATTTTTTTTGGGTATATTGCTCTTACATTACTCTTGTTTAATATTGGTTTATGTTTCACGCTCATCTATTAGAAAAAGTGTTCAATTTTGAACTTATCTATTTCATTCTGAGAAAAATATTAAAAATGGCTTACGAAAAAAGAGAAGGTCGTTCTTTTTAACCAAACCATATTCATATTATGGATCATGAAAAGATTTTTAAAGACGTCTTATGGATTGAAAGCAGTACCTCATTCCAACACAATCAGGCATCCCCATGAGATATATCATATATACCTTTTCATGTGCTCCTAAAATACGTCGATCAATAAATTAGAAAGTTAAACAAAGTTTAATTTATCGGAATGATTTGACTTAACTAACACTTAACATCTTAAGTTTTGCTTAAGCATGAGATTACGTATTCAATTCTCCGTAGATACAATGGCCATGCGAGTTCATTCTTCCCAACGAACAGTGACAAAACATTAAAGTTTAATTTCAAATGACTTGGTTGAACAACATTTTTGTTAAAGAATGTCAAAACAATATTAAAAGAGGTAAACAAGAGGAGCTTTAATCTGGCATCTTTCAAGTATCTGACTCAATTATTTTTTTTTAATTTCTTTTGATTACTGCTCAATTATGTTATACTGTTGTCTAAAGAAAATAATATGTATTCTATGGGATGTACATATTTGACATGATACACTACAGTAGGATATTTTATAATATGTATGTGTAATATATTCTACGTTCTGTATTATTATTTTTTATGATAAGTTAAATTTCAAGTTCAAGCATGGCTCACGTGGAAAATTGACATTTATAGAGCTATACCCCTTACGTGACATTTGATTATACTCGAATATAATTTTTATGTGATATCACCTACTTCCTCTAGTTTTAAATTTAAGGCTCATTTGAAATTTTGACTTGACCACAAATATAAGGTTTCATTTCCTTTTTTCCCCCTATTATATCAAATTTTTCTTTCTTATTTTTTCTCTATTTAAAGGGTGATTTTTATCTTTACATATCAAATTTTAATCATTAACCGATGGGGGTATTTTTTTTAAATAAAAATGTTACAAAATTTCTGCATATTAATTGAAAATAATTAAATATAATTTTTTGGGTTTTGTGAATTAATTAAAAGGACATGGGCTGGAATGAGTACCTCTTTGAAAAAAAAGAAGAAAGAAATTGATGAACCATAATTTTGTTTTCAATGATAAACTGTAATCTAACAAACTAGTCCTTGGGGTACCATATTTAAGCAACGATTAACTAAATTAAACAGAAAAAAATACTGATTAAAATTAGTTAAAAATAATAAATGTGTAAGAGAAGTAATTTTTTTAACATATCCTCATATGTGAAAATAATAATGAGAGGGAATGAGTGGGGGAAAAAAAGAGAGAGCAGGCATATAATTAATTTGAGGTAAAAATTAAAAGGCTAAAGTATACATTTTGTCTTTTAACTTTGTACAAGATTTCAATTTGGTCTTTTAACTCTAAAAAGCATATATTTGGTCCTTTAACCCCAAAATCATTAGCTTTAGTAATGATTTTTTGTAACAATCATGGATGTTTTGAAAATTAAACTTAATATGTTAGTACTTGAGAATATTTTATCAACGTTTAATATCTTAATGTCATCATTTTTTTTAAAAAATTTAGAGTTAAAGGACTAAAAGCATACTTTTTAAAGTTAAGGGATCAAATTAAAACTTTGTACAAAATTAAAAGACCAAATATATACTTTAGCCAAATTTACAAAAAGTGTATTAAATTTTTAAACAAATACAAAGTGTTGCTTATATATATAGGATTAACTTTATGTGAAAAAGTATTGCTTATATATAGAAGTGGAGAGATTACTATATCATATGATTAAATAAGATACTGCGAACCATTAGAGAATATGCTGATGATTTGGACCAATTCTCTAAAGGAACAAAACGTTATTTTTTATTCAAATCAAACCAATATGGTTGCCAAGTCCATAAATAATTTAATCCCACCTAACTTTACCTATCTTTGGCATGCAATAATAAACGTTAAGTAGGAGATTTTCAGGAGGAGTCCTCTTTATTATCCCACCAATAATTGAGAAATTATGACTTTCCTGGTAATTTTGGGCAGATTAAGTTATTTAAGTAACATTAATTAATGCATATGTCATTAGTGCTTATGATTTAAGTAAGCTTACGCGACTTAATTAATCTACCAACTTTGACCACAAGTTTGGTGAATTAAATACAGATGTACTCACAGACAAATATATGCTTACATTTAAGTTTTAACTAAGCTTAATTGCTTGACTGAATTAATACACCAATTTTGACCCCACTGTTACATAAATTGACTTTTCCTACCCAAAAAAAAATCCTTTTCTTTTTAGCACATATGCCCGGCCCAAAATAAAAATGACTCTTTGCGCTCTTTTTTATAAGAGTTTAGTAACTGAATTATATGGTCTAAGAAGACAGTTAAAATTAGTTAAAAGTAATAAATAGGTTAAACAAAAAAAAATTTCAAGTATGCTTTTTTTTCTTAAGGGGGTAAATAAGAGAGAGAAATAGAATAGTAATGAAAGAAAGTATATATAAAAGAGAACGTAGTATGCCAAGTCGCCAAAGTTTTAATTAATGCAATATATAAAATTAATTAGGGGTAAAAATAGTAAAAACACATTAAATGTTTATACAACCCTAATTAGCATCATATAAAAAGGACAAAGGCAATTTAAACTTCATGCTCTTATAAAAAAGGATCATAAGGAGTATACTACCTTTGTTCCTAGATATAAGATCTAGTCTATAGTACAAATTACACTAACAACTAGATCTTATATGTTTAGGAGCGAAGATAGTATATTTGTATAAAACAAGCCATCTAATATCTAGTAATTAACACACATTAGTATGGATTTCAATTGAGATAATGTGCTTAAATACCCCAGAAATATTCATAAAAGAGCATCCAGCATTTGATTTTTTTTTTTTTACTCTTATATGCTTTGAAAGTTTTATTTCGTAACATTTCCATTCTGAACTGTCATTCATTATGAAGTTTGATCATTAAATACTCTAGTTAAACCACATAATTTAACGATCAAATTTAACAGCAAATAATAGTTGGGATATTCCTGTTACGAAAATAAACTTTCAATATATATAAGATCCAAGAAAACTTTCAGGTGATGGGTGCTCATTCATGAATTAGATATTTATGCACCTTATCTCATTTCAATTAGATCAAGGGTCGAGAGACAGTTATAAAAAATTCTTTTAATTCATTCTTTTTATTTACAAAGTTTGAATTTGATATTTCTTTTAGGAAGTAGTCCCCCACCACTCATATCTGCACATGTACATTTTTTTATCTCTTTGTTTGAAAGTGTTATGCATTTTTATTATGACAAGAAAATATATTATTTGCACATACACATTAGGGCTACAACATGAGCGCATATCAATTGAAATGAAGAATAATCATTTTCCATTGCAGCAACAATTTGATTGTATACAGACAAACCCTAAAAGCCAACTTCAATAAACCATCCAATTGACAACACAACTAAGATTGGGAGTAAGTCTTCTCTTTTGTCTTACTACCTAAAGATCATCATCACCATCGTCATTTAATTTTCATCATATATCAATCATATCCCCTCCCCTTTTGAAAAAAAAAAATGAAAAAACAAGGTTTAATCGGTTTAATTTAATTTATTTCTGCAAGTCATGAGATCCATTATTAATGGCTGCCACCTTAGGCACTTCAACTGGGAACTCATGAATCTCATCCATCCATGGATTCTTCTCCTTCTTAGGATCAACGGACCTCAACGCACGCCACACGGCACTGTTACATTTGAAACCGGACCCAAATGCAATCTGCCATGTCCGATCACCCTTCTTGATCCTCCCTTTGGCCTCTGTGTAAGCCAGTTCATACCACAGAGAACTACTAGAAGTGTTTCCAAACCTGTAAAGAGTCATTCTAGAAGGTTCCATGTGCCAGTCAGAAAGTTCTAGATTCTTCTCCAACTCGTCCAGAACTGCCCTACCTCCTGCGTGAATACAAAAGTGCTCGAAAGCGAGCTTGAAGTCTGGAATGTAAGGCTTGATCTTGTTCATCTTGAAGACTTTTCTGGCGACCAGTGTGGCGAAGAAGAGGAGTTGTTCGGACATGGGGAGGACGAGGGGGCCGAGGGTAGTGATGTTAGTCTTGAGGGCTTCGCCGGCGACGGCCATGAGGTCTTTAGAGAGGGAGACGCCGATGCGTTTGGTGTCGTCTTCTTCTTGAAAGACGCAGCCGTAGGACTTGTCGTCGGCTCCCTTGTGGGTGCGGACGGTGTGGACGAGCTGGTACTTAGCACGACGGCGGTCGGAGGAGCGGTTGGAGAGGAGAATGGCGGCGCCGCCCATGCGGAAGAGGCAGTTAGAGACCAACATGGAGCGGTTGTTGCCGAAGTACCAATTCAGAGTGATGTTCTCCATGCTCACTACCAGCACATACGAGTTTGGGTGCACCTGTACATTCATTGCCGAACATTAGTTTCTTTCCCTTTCTTTATAATTTTGCTATTTTCATATCTTAATATTATGATTTAAAACGTACCACTACAACAATCGTATATGCACGTCATTTTTAACATATTTTTACGAGAATTTAAAAAAATCCTAAAGCTTCTTGACGGTGTAAATAGGATAAAAGTAGAATTTAGGGTGAATTATATTGCTTTAAGGTCCCAATTAATGAAGATCATTACCACAAATTCTCATAATAATTGGACACCTTGTAATAATAAGTTTCAAATTTTTAAGGCAGGAAATGACACTATATTTCAGAACCTTTTAATAATTATCTTTTTTTAGGACTTCGGAGTAATTTTTTCCTGAAATTTATAAGCAATTTAAACGGGTCCAAAAATAGAGATATGATAAAAATATTGAATGAATAAATAATAATTAGATAATAACAAATAATATAGAGGGGAAACTTGAAGGGTTGGGGAAAGGGGTATTAATTGGGGTGGCTAACCTAACCAAACTGTCAGCAACCTGGGCTTTGAATATGGGCCAGCTGGACTGACATGGCCACATTCTCTCTGGGGCCACACCCACCGCTTGTGACCAACTGTCATTTACACAGATCCTGTGGGCCCCATCCCTAGGCATCATCACTTCCGTTTTGCGCAAGCAATTAATTAATTCTTCACAACAATTGGGTAGTATTTCCTTTCTTATATTGCATCTCACTCCATTCTTAAACTTTTATAGATCATATTTTTATGAGAGACAAATAATATGGATTATTGGTTAATACTAATACTAATATTAATACTAAATTATATTCAACGTCACAACATGCAAAACTCAAACTAATATTAATTATGTCAATAGTAAACTTATAGGGTTTATATAGTATATCTATATATATTTTAGACGTTCTGGAAAATAGATAGTACAATTCTTGGCGGGTAATTTATAACACAATTTATTATAGAATCTATATATATGTTATCATTAATTAATAAGTTAATTAATATTGAAGATATTGTTACTAATATAAACATATTAACACACAATTGATGTCAAGTCGAGTTATTCATTAACTATCTTTGAATTTAGGCCTTATATAGGTAAAATTGAGATACTATATATATATATATATATTTAGACGGCAAGAAAAATCCAACTATTGCTCTAACTTAAATTATTAGCAGAAAAGTGAAAACATACCTTATATAATAGTTACACTTTTTAACCAAAAAAATAAATAAATGAATAAAACTTATAGCAGACTACTGTCAGATTGAAGGACCATGAGTTGAATCAGGGTTGATTAATATTCATGCTGAGTCATTATTTTCAGAATTATGGGATTAAAAAACGATTGAAAGAGATTGAAAAAGGATAATTTAACGTTGAAATGAATGAGAAAGAAAAGATGGAGTTTCTGAGAAATTAACTTTTACCTGTAAAAGCTGTCTTGCGAGGTCGATGGAGATGAGGCCTGCACTACAACCCATGCCACCCAGATTGTAGCTCAGAACGTTGCTTCTGAGCTTATAATGGTTCACAATCATGGCGGACAAAGAAGGCGTAGGGTTAAACAAGCTACAATTCACCACCAAAATCCCAATATCCTTCGCTTTCACTCCCGTCTTCTCCAGAAGCCCATCGATAGCCCCGAACATAACCTCCTCCGCCTCCTTCCTCGCCTCCGCCATACACGGATTCGGCGGAACATTCAAAACCGCCGGCGGCAAATACGTCTTCTGCCCTAATCCCGACCTCTCCAAAATCTTCTTCTGAAACCCTAAATTCTCCTCCGTAAATGAACCCGTAAGATTAGATCTCTCCATGAAGATCTCTCTGCTGCAAATCCTCTCCGCCTCGGGCTTATAACAGTTGAAATCGACGAGGTAGACGGCTCGCGGGCGGCTCATGAAGTAGACAGTGACGAGGAAGACCATGAGGCTGGAGCAGAGGGTGACGGAGACGAGATTGTACTTGAGATTCTCCCAGAGCTGGAGGAGGTCGTGGAAGGAGACGGTGGAGAGATGGGCGGAGGCGGCGGCGAGGATGGGGATGAGGATGAGGTACATGGCGTTGGAAATGAGGATGTGGTAGCCGAGCTTGACGTACTTGAGGCGGACGGAGAGGAGGAAGTTGGGAAGCTTGGAAGTTGATCTGGACGGTGGCGATTCGACTGAAATGGAGGCAGAAGAAGGAGGATTCTGGTGAGGATTAAGCTGAGGATCCGCCATGGTTGGTGATGGAAGCTGGAACTTAAGTATTTGTGGATTTGAAAGAAGGTCGAATGATAGGAGATGAAATATTTGAGAGAGAGAGAGAGAGAGGTGAGAGAAAATGAGGAAGGAAGAGAAATGGTGAAGATGGGGGAAGAGGAGGGATATATTTAAAGGGAGAGAAGAGAGGGGGGAGGGAAGTGGATGCAACTACCCCAACGAACTTTTAATTGCAGCGTCTGCGTGTAGCAGCACAACACAACTGGGTCTGCTACACAAAGCGAGAAACAATTGAATCCTCCTTCAATATCGACCCCATATTTCCTCCTCTATTTTACTCTTCCATATTATGTATATGTGTGTGTATATATATATATATATTAAAAATGTACACTTATACTATGAAGTACTCCAACTGGATGGCCAAAAAAGAAATACTCCATCAAGTCATGTGTGTGTAAGTTACAATTTTTGAAATACTGCTGATCTTTTTTATAAATTATACTACTACTGCCTTATATTCTTAATATAAGATTTAGTCTAGAGTTTTGAATTATAAACTAAATCTTACATTAAAAATGGAAAGTAATACTTTTTTTGGTTCACTTTTTTATTTTATTTTTTATACTACTTCCTGTCCTAATTATAAAATCTTGTTTATAGTCAACAAACAAGGTCTTATAATTAAGACCGGAGGTAGTACTCCTCCGGTCCTAATTATAAGACCCAATTGACTTATTTGAGGAGATTAAGAAAGTAAGTTAAGTTGGTTATTTATAATAAATAAGTGTTATCATTCTTAAAATATCCTTGCTAATTAAGTATATTGGCTAAAACTATTATTATTAAAAGGATTATCTTGGAAAAAAATGCATAAATATAAGAGACAAAATGGATTGGGGTCTTATAATTAGGACCAAATAAAAAGTCAAATTGGGTCTTATAATAAGGACCGGAGGAGTAATAAATAAAAATGTAAGTAAGTTGGATCTTCGAAATTCATCTAGTTTATTATGTGTTTTTACGTTAATTATATGCTGGCCAAGAAGTACTTCTCTTTTTTTACACATCATCTCTCTTACATTAACAAAGTTGAATCAAGTACTACTCCTTTTTTTCGCCATCAAGTCTATACTCTTTCTTATTCTTAATATAAGGCATTTTTAAAAGATTTCATTTTATGGTTCTAAAATATAAGTCACTTTGAAAAAACTTAACAACATTAAATTCATTTCTTCTACAAAATGCCCTTGGTAATTGTATTGTAAAGAAAGATTATTTTTTTGACATAAGTAGAGAAATATTGGAAAGTAGTACTACTATAGAGAAAGATTATATAAAAAAGAAATTAAAAATAATTAAGATAGGTTGATTTTGATTGGAGAGTAAAAATTTTAGTTATACAAAATTTTTGACTATTCTTCCTTACGAATTAGTTGAAACTTGAAAGTGTCTTATTATAATAAAAATCGAAGAGAGTATATGTAATAGTTAATGCAGCACCTACACATACATGAACTTTGATTGGATTGAGTAGGAGGTCAAAGTTTTCAAATTTAATGGATGACTAATCTCAGTTGAAAACCATTCTCGATAATCTTAGAAGAATTATATTTTCAATTAAATTCAATAATTTTTTTGCCGACAAATTCAATAATATTTGAAACTATAGCTTATTTATATCATACTCCCTTTTTTTGCCAACTAGTATCATACTCCCTTTAATTTTTATAATAAGATATTTTAAACTAATTCTCACATAGCAGTTAAGTCATTAAATTTATTCTAAATTAATAAAATTTTCAGCTTTGCCCCTAATGATGTGATTTAATTTTATCAACTTTGAACCTCGATTAATAGCGAGTAAAGTTTAAAAAAAAGTAATTATGAATTGATGGCGTGAGATAAAGTGATTAACCATAGTCCATGAATATATACATCACCACATACACTACTTATTAACCACAAATACTATGGGCTTATTCCATATTTACACTCTGTCTTTGTTAATAACGGTTATTTTAATTTATTCCTATATTACTAATACTTTGTTAAATTTAATTATTTATTGATGGCGTGGGGGTAAAGTGATTAATTAATGCACGTCAATTTATTTATCCGTTATTGCTTTTTTTTTTAATTTAGATATAAGCGCATGGAAATACTAATACACTTTTTTGGATTAATAGGAAATTTTGGTGCTGTTTGGTAACTTTGGTGACCGATATATTGCTGCGCTTAGACTATATATGCCTGCATGCGTCTGCACATACCTTACGGTCAACCTTCCTTTTTAGTTTATAAAATTTTTGTAATAAAATTTGCTAAATACTTTTTTATGACACGATCGACTTATATTATACTTAGTCTTATATATTTAATAACCAGTGAAATCAGAACAAATGAATTGTACCGTGTTTATAATATTAATAACAAGAGTTTATCATAAAATAAATAATATATAAAGATTTGCATGTCGACATTTACATTAAGTATATAAGATTAAGTATGTGTGTATGTATTTCATTTTTATTAAAATATGATGACTATAAATAATTAATATACTCCATAAAAGTGAAAAAAACTAACAGATACCTAATTTACTAAAGGGTATTCATATGGTTGGCCAAATTGGCATACAAGGTAGGGCTAGAGGTTAGGCCGAAGTACTGTTTTCCAACCCATCAATAGCATGGTGTGTGTGTGCGTGTTTCTTCCATTTTTAATATAGCAGTTATTTAACTAATTTCAGTAAATTAAAAAATTAAATTAAATAATTAATTATAATAAATATAAAATAATTTTTCTAAAAAATAATTGCATAATATTAGTTTATAAATTAATTAAATTTGTTTGATAAAAAAATAATAAATATAACATATAAAGTGGATGGGGTCTTAATCTTACATTGAGAACCAAATTCAACTCACTAATTAGCTTCTGTATATTTTAGGATTTATTTTCATATAGGACTAAGGTGTAAATTTGTTTCAAAAATTTTTATTCGGAAACGTTGGGTATCGAAAAGTTTTTTTGGTAGCTAACTTGTCTCAAAAATTTAAAATCATAACAATATTAACCCCTATTGTTAAACATATTAATGGTTAACATCACTATTTTAATAGTCAATGCAACTACAATAGGAGACAATATTATTATGATTTTAAACTTTTAGGAAAAGTTTGCTCTCCAAAAAAAATTTTCAGGACAAATTTGCACTTTAACCTTTTTATATATTAGCTTCTATATATATTAGGGGCCAGGGGGAGTGCAATATAACACATTTATTTTTTCTTTTTTTTTGGAATTATAATTGATTTTATAGTGTAATAAACTGGTTTTTTTTTTAAAATTATCATGAAGCCTTCTTTAACATACTTGATGATAAAACAAGAATAATTATCACTTGAATTTAATTACAATGTCCCCCGAAATCGTTTATATTTAACTATGATCCGTTTTCTTTTCCCGGTAGCAGTATATGCCTTGCTCTTCGCTGGCAAGAAAATTTAGGAATGAGGTTGATAAACCTCTTCGATCTATATCTACTTTTGTGTCTAAACTATTAATAACTAATAAAATTATGTCACCTACATAATTAATTAAGGTAATGAGATATGTCCGTATGTCGGTATGTGGGATTTGGATTCTCTCCTTACTCTCTCTCTTTACAACATCTCTTTGGATGTAATATTGTTTGTTTTATGTCAACAACACGTTTTTCAAGCGGCGGCACCACTTGTCATGTTTAGATGAGGCTTCATATTTGAGTCTGGTATTAATATATTTGTGTTTGTGCGGATGTTATATTGTATAAAATAAAAAAATTGTCCATTTAATTATTCATTTTTAATCATTATATGTATTTAATATAGTTACTTAAATGCTTTTGAAAACAACATTATATAATACCTTTTCGCTTTTTTTATAAGATATTTTCAAAAAATTCTGTCAAAACTTATAAAAATATTAATTAAATCTCATCAATTTTATCTTAAAATTTAATAATTGTCTAAATTTATTCCTTTTTAATATATATATTTTTTAAAAAACGAAACAGAAGTATGGAGAGGGGTCCAAATCCAAGTTCGAGGTCTTGTATTTGTGATTTTTTCCTCTAAACATCTATTATTATTAATTATTAATTAATATATAAAAGTATATTAAAAAACAGAAGATGTTGGCAAGCTAACATATGGCGTCACCAATGTGCCAATAAATGGTCTTCATTTTTCAATTTTTGTAAAAGCCACGTTTCTACTCATGTTCTTCTATTCATGCTTTTTTTTTTTTCCAAATTATTCACAGGAAAAATGCTGCTTATAAAATTTAAAACATGACATAAGTGTATTTTAAATTTCAAATTAAGAAAAATTTAAATCAAATAACTTTTATTTTCAAATTATTAACAATTTTATTTCCATCTAATATATAAGCAAATATCTATTTGCACCCGTGGCACGGGTATTGAACTAGTTATTTCTAAAGCAGGCAAAAAATAAACAGCTGAACCGAAATTAGTCCAACCAAAAATAAAACCGTGCTTTCCCTAGTAATTAATTATGAGAGGTAGGAAAAAAAACTAATAATTAATTAACCCTCTTCACATACGAAGCAATCAATTGGTTGAGATTTTTTTCTTTGATAGACAGATTAGTTGAGAATTTTATTTCAACTAATTTTTGTTGGTCATAAAACTTAAAAGTAACCGCTCATCAGTTTATTTATCATTATTTAAGAAAAATACTTATGACTAAATATGGGTAATTTGACTAATTATCCACAAAATACACATAATTAGTCGCTTCATTTCAATGGTTTTGTTACTTAAGGTTTTTTACATTATTTAATAAATCATTGATTAATGGAAAATATCACTAAAATACAATTTATATTAAATAACTCACGTATGTAGAGTAATTTTTGTGGAAACCTTTCATTAAATTGTACAAAATAGACTCTTTTTCTTTTTTTAAACAAAATATACTTAAATTGTAGCCTTCAATCACACACATTTAATTAATACAGTCAACTTTTTATGATAAAGTCTGAAAAATAATGATGAAAAATACCCCGAAGGTCATTAATTAATAAGGAAAATGACCAACTTAGAGACACAAAAGACAATGTTAACTACTTCCACCTTCAGTCA